AAAGGCAACTGGCAGAAATAATCCTAAGGATTACGTTTTTCAGATCAGCATGAATGATTTCCTTGCTCATTTTCTATTAATGTAGCAAATAAATCCTTAGGTCTATTTTTTGACATCTCTAGTTCTCTGCTTCAGCCTATTTCTTGGGGATCTTGATCCAAATTTTCAAAGCTGCAGGTGAACCTTGGTACTTACATTTATTTAGGTACCCTAATAATAGTGTTTTACTGTCATATTCCTGCTACTTAACCAGGTGGTAAAATTCTACCTCCACACCAGTCTTCACTTGTTGGTATGCATCTAATCCTGGAGGATCCCATCTGCAACTGGGTTTGTGCTCCACATCTCAGCTCCTTGCCTGTCTGCTTAGGGAACAGTTTTGAGCCTGGTCTCCTTTACCAGCTGCTGATAGTAGCTGACGAAAAATTGTGCCATAGACAGTGCTTAAGTCCACTGTGCAACAGTACTTGGAAAGTACTCTGCCAACCAAGCAGGCTGAGAAGTAGAGCACTTGAAAATCAAAGAAGTTTCAGTGCTGTATGGGCACAGTGGGAAGCAGCAGGAAAGGCAGCTCCCGCAGGGGCAGCACAGACACTGCAGGAATAACAAGTGGCCTGAGTGGAGGTGAGGGAGCACAGCAGAAGTTGAAGAGGTAACGGTGGTCAAGGCAGCTTAGAAGGGAGAAGAGCATTGGCAGCTGCTGAGAGACAGAGCAGGGAGCACCAGAGAAGGGGTGCCAGTGCAGGGTCCAGGTGAAGGGTGCTGTGCAAAGCCCACAGGAAGGGGTCCTGAAACAGGGAAGTTGAAATATAGGGTGTGAAATGTATCTAAAGGCAGTGGAAGAGAGGAAAGTGTGAAGGAGACTCTTTCTTCTTTTTCTCAAATACTTCCCACTTGAGGGTTGTTTTTTTTTCTTTTTCCAAAAAGGAGGTTTCTTTCCCCAGAAGTAAAATATTCATTTTTCCCCAGACTCACTCTATGGCAGATTAGGGATAGCATCCCTAAGACGTCACAGGGCCAGAAGACAAAACAAAGACCAAATGGACAGCATCCATTTCCTTTAAGGGTGTGGAGTGGTAGCAGGGTTCCTTTGAGCTCTTTGTCATTTGCTAGTAGTATCTGCATGTGTAGCCATATGAAAGTCAAAAAATTCAGTCCCAGTTCCAAATCTTCTGAACATCTGAAAGAAAGAGACAGAGATCCTAGCTGTGGAATTGGAGCAAAACTGTATGGTTTAGGGGCTTTTAAAAATAGGGATCCTGCTTTTTCAGCAGGGTCAATACTACCCAAGTTCAACTGGTAGATTACAGCTGAGAGCTTGTGATTATGGTATGACTACTGCTTTGACCTTGCTCAATTTTTGCTATAATAGTTTCTGCTTTACCTAATCTGGGTTGATGCTTAATACCACTGATAAAACCACTTGTTTGAATGAATTAATGCATTTCTCATTAAATGAGCTCCTCATTATGTTAATCAAATCAAGCAAATCATGCTGGGTGGTTTGACCACTGTAATTAAACTTTCTTTAAAATCCACTCATTTGGCTTTTGATGAGGGTTTTGATTAAACTCTTCCAAAATGTCTGGCCCAAGAGCTGACAGAGAGAAAAATAAGAGCTTGCACGATCAAGCAAGTCATTAATTCATCACTGTGTTACAGCAATTCCTTACTGTTTTACCTAGCCAGAGTATATTGAAATATTTGAAAATTGGCAATGTAAAATTAAACATTTCTTACAAGTATGCTGAGAGAACAAGTCTGTTTGCAGCTTTAAATTTAGGAACTGTGTCTCTGGACTATATAGAGGATCTAGATTAACAAGTCACAAAAATGGGAAGATACACTAGGCTGCTGTTTCCTGATGTTAAGATAAGAAGAGATACATCTTCAGAAAATTGCTTTGAACACATACCAACAGTTTTGCATGTGAAGGCTGAATCAGTAAACATCTGTCTGTTTTCACCAGTGTCACTCACTTTTTCAAGTATCAGTCCTGCTCAAAAAAAATGCATTCCTCAAATGATAGCATATGTTTGGCATGATGATGGTGTAAGAACTACAATGCAAAGCAGGATAAGCCAAGGCCTGTTTTCTGGCCCTGCAAATGTCCCTGCATGACTTGTATCCATGCTTCTAAGCTTTTTTTCCTGCCCACAATAGGGTGGCTACATCCCGACTGCTCATCCAGAGCAGTCCTGGTAAGTGGTGTGGCACAGACCATACTCCTGTGTTGTCCTGGGAGAGTGCTTGTTCACAGAATCATAAAATATCCTGAGCNCTGGGCGGCCCCGCCGCGCCCGGGCCTGCCGGCAAAGCCGAGGAGAGGAAGAATGAGAAGGTAAGGCCGCCGTGCCTCTGCCGTGCCTCGTGCTCCTGCCTCATAGCCCTCCCACACGGCTGTTGAGGAGGCACCTTGCGAAAGCTGGTTTCCATCGCCAGACGGCTTGGGCATCCTCATCTCACACCATTCCCACACCTCATCTTTCCCCCACCGCCATCCTCAACACTGCTCTCGCATCACCTGCTCGCGGATGGGAAACAAGGCTGAATTGGTGCGTTTCTCCCAGTGATCAGCCCCGAGAGCTGCAAATCTGCAGCGGTGCAGCGAGATGTTGCAGCGGGCTCTTGGCCATCAGAACCGCATGGCTAAGTCAGAATCCGCCTGCCTCCCTTCGTTGGTGGTGGCACCAGCCACGCAGCAGGTGCCTCAGGCACAGTAAAACATTGGTTCGTGAGTGCTAGGAGCTGTTTTGCTCTTCCAGAAGCATCTCGATTTCTTCAAGAAATTTTCATTGCAGAAATTAATTCATGGCACAGCCCAAAAAGAAGGTGATCGGATACTGCTCTATGGGATGTAGGTACAGTGTACTGTTGAGTCAATCTCTTAGGAGCCAGCAGTGGGACCGATAGCTGGGTTCATGTTCCCTGGCACACCTTGCTAAGGAAAGCCAGTGAGGAGAGACACTTTAAGCAGCCTTTTAGGTTGTTGGCAAATATTTTGCTTTTACCAATTGTTTACATTGTGTCAGCAGTTCCCATATATCAATGCTGAAGATTATCTCTCTGCTGGCTAGCAGAGCAAGATCCTGGTTTTTATCTGAGTAGGAGGAAGAGATGTGGGGGCCTGCTTTTCCTTTGAACCTGAAAAAAATTCTTTCCGTATGTTCCCTGAGCTTTCCCATGGTGGTAGTCACATACAGAGTAAACAGTTTCTTTGAACATGGTAGTACTGATGTGGCAGGTCTCATGTCCTCAGAGATGCATGCCTTGAATTTTCTCTGAATGCATATTGGTGAAAGAAGAAGGGTGTAGAAATTCTACCCTGAACGTGACATTTAGGTACTTGCTTTCAAAGAACAACTCTCAGGTGTCCATCAAGGACTGCATGTGGTGGAAGCAGAACAACATCTGCTACTTCTGCAAATCCAAGGAAAGGAATAGCATTTGGCAGGAGGTGGTAGAGTTGCACATTGCCTCAGAGCATTGTGTACTGGCTTATTTATTACTTTCTAAAACATGTTAACTGATAGGTCCATATATTTTAATTCATGTGATACTGCACACAAAGTCTGTAGGCAAAATTATTTCAAGCACAGTCCTAAGATACTGGTTAATCTCTCCCAAGCTGCTACAGCTTAAAGTTACTGAATTGGGATGCAGAAAAGTAAAGTTAAAAGGTTTTTGAACTCCATGCATGAAGGGGAGAAGGAAATAATATACAACATCATTGCAATGGGTGTTGCCAAAGACCAGTTCACTATCTGGGAAGTATCAGAGAGAAGTGACAGTAAAAATTGTAATTTCTGACTCAATTGGGTAATACATAACTGCCCTGGCTGGACAGCATATTCCTGAATCTTGTCCATGTTATAGTTCACTTTCATTTTAGAAAGATCTGCATTAGCAATGTTTCCTTTCCTTTTAGAAATAATGACTGATGTTTGGCCAGGTAAGTTGTGTTATTGCTCTTTGCTAAGCCCAAATATTTCTTTGAAGCAATTGAGAGCTTGGATAATGCCAGAATGAAAGCCATACAACTATTCAGAAAAGCATCTGTGAGTCAGAACTGGAACCATATCTATAACAGCACTTGATATTTTCAAAGTGAAGGCTGATTGGGCAGGTTTTTTGGTGAATAGGAAAGTGTCACAACACTCAGAGGGAGTATCAGTGGAGAAAGACAGTATCTGTTATCAGTACACGTAATAGGAAAAAATCAGACAAGATTAAGGAGCAAAAAACAGGAGGGACATAGCTAGTAAGCTGCCAGATAAGCAAAGATCAGAAGCAATTTTTCTGAGTTCAGTTTCATTATATTAATCAGTCAGGTATTTTGAGATGAAAAGAACAGGGGAAGTTAGTAAGAGGAGAGGTAATAAGGTCTTCAGCTCTATTGAACACAGGATGGAAGAAATGCACAGGTAATTATCTCCTGAGAAACTGAGATTAGCAAGTCATATGTGATGTAAATTGTAATGTGCCATAAAATTAGCGTTGTTGTTAGAATCAACAATTTTTGGTGTGCTCTGAAGTTGTTAACTTTAATCCTGTCTTAGTCTTTCCAGTGTCTTTTGTAGGATACCATCAAGGAAAAAGGCTGAATGATCAGAGAATAAGTGGTTTAGGAGACATTTTCTTGTTATTAACCATGGTTTTCTTTTATGTAGGAATTGTCAGTGTGGGTTCACTGTGGTACAGAGGGCACATAGTACGTAAGAAGTAGTTTGCATTCAGGAATGGACATGACAAGGATCCATTGTTTTTCATGGTTCTTTTGAGGGCTGTGGAGATAAATTGCAATTTTTGCATTTATCACTCCAGTATGATGAGATATATTGGTCCTTGGGGAATTTTCTTCAGATTATAACTTTAGTAATGTTGATTGTCTGCTTGAAAGCTGGGCTGGGATATAGTGAGGAAAAGTGTTTTAAGATATGATCTTCTAAAAATTTATGTTTTATGATTTCCCACAGCAATTCCACTCAGAGATACTAAAAGTGACACCAAGGGGCAGTTTCTGCAGTGAGTCCATGTATGCTGCTTGTGTTGCATGTTCCAAGATGGAATCAGCTTCCCCTCGGGAATAGCCTTGTTTGAGTGTATGGTGTAGTCATCACTGTTAATGCTTTCTTCGGTGCACGTGTTTATATGCCAATATCACGGGTTCCTGTTGGTGTGCAGAAGTCACATATAGGCAAATCCCAAGATTTCTCTAAAATTGAGGGACTCCAATTCCTATTTTTACTAATTTCCTTGTGAGCTAAAGGCAACTGGCAGAAATAATCCTAAGGATTACGTTTTTCAGATCAGCATGAATGATTTCCTTGCTCATTTTCTATTAATGTAGCAAATAAATCCTTAGGTCTATTTTTTGACATCTCTAGTTCTCTGCTTCAGCCTATTTCTTGGGGATCTTGATCCAAATTTTCAAAGCTGCAGGTGAACCTTGGTACTTACATTTATTTAGGTACCCTAATAATAGTGTTTTACTGTCATATTCCTGCTACTTAACCAGGTGGTAAAATTCTACCTCCACACCAGTCTTCACTTGTTGGTATGCATCTAATCCTGGAGGATCCCATCTGCAACTGGGTTTGTGCTCCACATCTCAGCTCCTTGCCTGTCTGCTTAGGGAACAGTTTTGAGCCTGGTCTCCTTTACCAGCTGCTGATAGTAGCTGACGAAAAATTGTGCCATAGACAGGCAGCACAGACACTGCAGGAATAACAAGTGGCCTGAGTGGAGGTGAGGGAGCACAGCAGAAGTTGAAGAGGTAACGGTGGTCAAGGCAGCTTAGAAGGGAGAAGAGCATTGGCAGCTGCTGAGAGACAGAGCAGGGAGCACCAGAGAAGGGGTGCCAGTGCAGGGTCCAGGTGAAGGGTGCTGTGCAAAGCCCACAGGAAGGGGTCCTGAAACAGGGAAGTTGAAATATAGGGTGTGAAATGTATCTAAAGGCAGTGGAAGAGAGGAAAGTGTGAAGGAGACTCTTTCTTCTTTTTCTCAAATACTTCCCACTTGAGGGTTGTTTTTTTTTTCTTTCTTTTTCCAAAAAGGAGGTTTCTTTCCCCAGAAGTAAAATATTAATTTTTCCCCAGACTCACTCTATGGCAGATTAGGGATAGCATCCCTAAGACATCACAGGGCCAGAAGACAAAACAAAGACCAAATGGACAGCATCCATTTCCTTTAAGGGTGTGGAGTGGTAGCAGGGTTCCTTTGAGCTCTTTGTCATTTGCTAGTAGTATCTGCATGTGTAGCCATATGAAAGTCAAAAAATTCAGTCCCAGTTCCAAATCTTCTGAACATCTGAAAGAAAGAGACAGAGATCCTAGCTGTGGAATTGGAGCAAAACTGTATGGTTTAGGGGCTTTTAAAAATAGGGATCCTGCTTTTTCAGCAGGGTCAATACTACCCAAGTTCAACTGGTAGATTACAGCTGAGAGCTTGTGATTATGGTATGACTACTGCTTTGACCTTGCTCAATTTTTGCTATAATAGTTTCTGCTTTACCTAATCTGGGTTGATGCTTAATACCACTGATAAAACCACTTGTTTGAATGAATTAATGCATTTCTCATTAAATGAGCTCCTCATTATGTTAATCAAATCAAGCAAATCATGCTGGGTGGTTTGACCACTGTAATTAAACTTTCTTTAAAATCCACTCATTTGGCTTTTGATGAGGGTTTTGATTAAACTCTTCCAAAATGTCTGGCCCAAGAGCTGACAGAGAGAAAAATAAGAGCTTGCACGATCAAGCAAGTCATTAATTCATCACTGTGTTACAGCAATTCCTTACTGTTTTACCTAGCCAGAGTATATTGAAATATTTGAAAATTGGCAATGTAAAATTAAACATTTCTTACAAGTATGCTGAGAGAACAAGTCTGTTTGCAGCTTTAAATTTAGGAACTGTGTCTCTGGACTATATAGAGGATCTAGATTAACAAGTCACAAAAATGGGAAGATACACTAGGCTGCTGTTTCCTGATGTTAAGATAAGAAGAGATACATCTTCAGAAAATTGCTTTGAACACATACCAACAGTTTTGCATGTGAAGGCTGAATCAGTAAACATCTGTCTGTTTTCACCAGTGTCACTCACTTTTTCAAGTATCAGTCCTGCTCAAAAAAAATGCATTCCTCAAATGATAGCATATGTTTGGCATGATGATGGTGTAAGAACTACAATGCAAAGCAGGATAAGCCAAGGCCTGTTTTCTGGCCCTGCAAATGTCCCTGCATGACTTGTATCCATGCTTCTAAGCTTTTTTTCCTGCCCACAATAGGGTGGCTACATCCCGACTGCTCATCCAGAGCAGTCCTGGTAAGTGGTGTGGCACAGACCATACTCCTGTGTTGTCCTGGGAGAGTGCTTGTTCACAGAATCATAAAATATCCTGAGCTGGAAGGGACCACAGACCCACAAGGATTATCAAGTTCAGCTCCTGGCCCTGCACAGGACAACCCCAGGAAGCACACCCTGTACTCAGGAACATTGTCCAAATGCTTCTTGAACTCTGTCAGGCTTGGTGCCATGACCACTTCCCTGGGGAGCCTGTTCCAGTGCCCAGCCACCCTCTGGGTGAAGACCCTTTTCCTGATATCCAACCTAGACCTCTCCTGGAACAGCTTCAGGCCATTGCCTGGGGTCCTGTCACTGGGCACCAGAGAGGAGAGATCAGTGCCTGCCCTGGCACTTCCCCTCATGAGGAAGTTGTAGGTTTCTGTAGGTTTCCTCTCATTCTCCAGGATGAGATAAGTTACCCCAGAAGCTCCTCACATGACTTGCCCTCAAGGCTCTTCACCATCTCCATAGCTCTACTTTGGATGCTCTCTCATAGCTTTATATTTTATATTTTGGACCCAAAACTGCACACAGGACTTGAGGTGAGGCTGCACCAGTGCAGGGTAGAGCAGGAAGTTGATATAAGCCAAACCCACAAAAGTTAATGGGTGCAGACATAGGTTTGTTGCTAAATTTTGATCTTGTCTTTTATGCCAGAATAGACATGACCAGAGAGACTTCCCTCTTCACCACTCCACCTTCCTGTGCCTTTCTCTTCCTTCTACTAAAATGCAGCCCAGTGCCCAGTTCGACCTGGCAGCATCCCTCAGTGCTGGCCTCCTGCCTGCACACATAGTTGCCCACGCTGGCCTTATGTAGAGTTGGAGACTAGATCAAAGGCCCTTTAGAAATTTGGCTTCATAAACTCTTGAGATGCTCTTTGCCCTTAATTATTAAAGCTGTCCAATTAAGCTATCAGATGGTCAGCCTGAAACTGCCTGAAGAACCAGGTCCTACACAGTTATGCACTTTCCGTTTTTACTTAGTGTTAGCCTCTGCATTGCAAATTCTTCTCATATTAACTTGTCCCTGAGTGAAAGGGATTTACTATCACTTCATATCCCCAAAGAAATTTTCATTCCTTATCCAGAAAATGAAAGATCAGTCTCAAAATTGAAGAATTGAGCACTTGCAAGGACTTTGTAGATACAAAATGATGTGACAAAAATAGTGGTCACCTGTGATGAGTAGAGGAAGCTAAGGACAGAGTTGATGCAAGCAGGTTTTTCAGATAAGTCAATAAGGCTGACCCCGAATTTCTGGAGGAGGAATTCAGTCTTCCTAGCAGATATGAAATTATGTAACATTTTTCAATTTGTGAAAAATATTTCCCTTATGTTCAACTAAGAAAGCTCACTAAGTTGCACAGGTGTGAAATGGAACAATAACAACCAAGTCATTAAATGAACAGTGCAAGACATAACAATAAAAAAGTTGCACAAGACCAGAAGAGCCTGGCTTGAATTATTAGAGTAAGTGGTAGGTTGCATTAAGAGGGAGAAATGTTGGAATAGTAATCTAAAGGTTTGCATCAAAAAGAATAAATTCTGTAACACTAATTTTCCTGAGTACTCTGTAAGACATCAGAGTTGATCCAGGAGCCACCAACACTAACATTTCACTGATCATTTTCAGAACCAGCTGTAACTTTTCAGTGTAATGTGTTCCAGTTTGTTTCTTGGTAAGGATGCTTTATTCTGGAATATTTTAGTTCAGTTCTCTCAAGATTTGTGCACAGAATACATACTGTTAATCCATTTCCTCTCAACAAAGGCAAGGGGGCTGTCTTTGTCACAAATGAGCCACTGCTTCCCATGCTCCAGAAAGTGAATCTTGGCTCAGTGACCAGCAAGTGATTCACCAGAAACTTGGCCAGGGAGTGGAAACCTCTTTTTCTGGTCATGTGAACTCAGGCCACAAAGTTCTGTTTTAGGGCAGAAAATTCATGCTTAAAATCTCTCCAGCACCTTCTCCTTCATCGTTAGAGCTCAGTTTGAAAGGACATAAACCTGGCAACTCAGTGATGAATATTTTAAGGCTGGCAAATTACCCAGCCAAAAGCATGAGCCCCAGCTGTCAAAACATAGAAAACTTAAGCTTTACAATAAAACAGATTTCTGTTATTTCTGACTGGCTGGGATTCTTTTGCTTAGATCAAGGGCAATAAGTCATTGATCAAAATTTCTTTTTCTTCTTCACATTTTTGATGTTAGGAAATGCTTTCAGACTCCTCACAGATATTTCAAGCGCTGACTTTGCTGCCAAGCAGTCTCCAAAAGCTATTGCTTTTTTCTCTCCTCTCCCCCCGCCTCTGCTTATCTGCCTCACAGTGCTGTCACAGGATTTCTCAAGTGTCCACAGTGGATTTCTCTAACACTCTTTTGAGTGGTTCTGTGCTGCATTCTACGGCCTTAAGGGGAAGCAGATCCCAGGGAAGAGAAGATGGAGAGTGCTTTAACTTCAAGAGGAAATTCGGTTTATCTGCTAACTGGAGATGAAGCTGTTTGGATGCCAAGGCACAGAATTCTCCTGGCACCTGTAGAGACCTAATTTTATAGCACAGAGGACCCACGAGCTTTTTCTAAATCCTTAGCACAGCTTGAGGAAGAAAGTAGAACTGACAAAAGAAAGAGCATGCAAGGGAGCACTGGAAGCAGAAGGCTGGAGGCGTATGTGTGCGCGAGTGTGTGTCTGCGTGTGAGCATCCCAGCACTGGCGTTCCCATGGCATTCCCCTGCCTGCAGAAGAAATCATGCAGGACCAGATGGCTGGATGGGGCCAGGCTGTGGGTGGGGATGGCAAGTACGTCCTTGGATTAGTCGGGTGAAATGTAAGTGCTCTTGTGCTATCAGTGGAAGACATTGACACATTTCGCCTGTTGCGGGATCGTAGGGGCCAGTCCCCACCCCAGACCACACAGCTCTGCAGCTGAACATCCCCTCATGGCTTCTGCCCTCTCCCTGCCCTGTTCCCAAAGAACATGTCTTGATCTCTCATTCCCTCATGACATCAAACATCCAGTCCCCATGCATGGATTAAAAAACCCAGGGTGTTACTGCTCTCCCTGTCCCTGTGGTTCTCCTTTCTGCCTGAAGCAGTAATACACAGAGCTGGCATGAACTGACACTACCCCACCTCTCCCAGGAAGGAAGATATGCAGGATGAAACCATTCCAGCAGAAAAACAGAGTAGGAAGCTGCATGCCTTGAAAATAATTAAACAACTTGCAGCGTGTCAGAGTTGGTGGCATCTTGGCATCCCACACATTCAGGACTCATTTGTTTTCTTCAGTGATTTTCCAACTGTGAGTTCACAAGCCAGCAAATCTTAAACCACCAAGAGGTAACAGAGATTAGTCACTGAGCTACAAGAATTTAAAGTGCCAATGCAGTTTTTTTATGGAGACAAAGCCTGAACTTTCCTGTGAAAATTGTCTCTAATCAACTTCTCAGTCCCCATGTTTCTTTTTCCTAGGTCGATTAAAATATCTACAATCAATGCAGAAATCTTCCAGCAAGCTCTGCTAGAAGAATTATATAAACTGAAAGAAATTACAGTTTCTGACAAAAACATCAATACTGTAGGAATAGCATGTTAAAACAGTCAACAAATATCTGTGGCATGTTTCTATTTTTGTTATGTAACTCGAGGGCATAACCAAGTTATAGCAAAGGCACATTTATCTTATTTTGTACACTTTTGTTTATTATTCATATTGCAGAAGCAGCATAAAAACTTAAAAGCCCTTGCCTTTCTTTGCCAAATGGTAAAGCAACTTTAGAGTCAGTCTGGGTTGTTATTTTTTTTCAACTGAATGTCTCAAGCATCTAGTAATTCTCTTCAGACCAAGTGAAGACATGGAGTCAGTGCTTGCCTCTGAAGGACTGAAAAAAATGTTACTGTTCTTCCCTCTGGAGAAAAAATCAGTCTCAGGAATTCAAAAAGTACACCATGCAAAAGTCACTTTTCTGACACTACATCTGCGGGCTGCCTGTAATCAATTAATATAGTGTGTCAAGCAGTCAACCTTTATTTATTATAAAGGCAAAACTCAACCTGTTGCTTTGCCTTTTTTTGCATATATTTTGTTCAGTTCATATTCACTGATATGCTTCTCTAAGTTAAAGACTACAGAAGCTGTAATACTAACCTTCAGCCCTTGACCACTATATTCAGCACAGCAGAAACAGACTGGCTTTGGGCTTTGTCACCAGATGCCTCAGGGAGGGAAGAAGTAATTTAATGTGAGTCCATGGACAACTTATTTTGCAGTAAAGTAGATTTCCAGTGTTGTAGTTTTTTGTCCCAATTCATGATCAGTCCAGAGCTAGTATATTTTTTTTTTTCTTTTTTTTTTACCTCAGAGATCTCTATTGCCTCCTGCACAACATCATGTTATTTTTCATATCCTAAGTTTCAAGACAGAAAAGGGAGGAGGTCAGGCAACCAGATTCTATCAGCACAATGGTGCCTGCTGAGGCCAGGGAAATGTATAAGCTAGGCTTCAACCAGGACATAAAAGAAAGAGCTGATTTTCCAACTTTGAAAATTTTTCTGGACAGGTTTTATATCTAAGCCATCTTAGATATCTGATTGTTGCCAATCTATCACACAGGCTTAGAGTGAACCTGGCCAAATACAACTGGCCAGCAGAGACAGTGGCATAGGGGAGGTAGTAAGGATGGTGTCCCCAAAGCCTGGAATGGATTTCCATCTGCTGTGAGAAAGTCAGGTGGATGCCAACTACCCACCACAGATAGTCTAGCTTTTCTTGAAATTGTTCCATTGAGACAATTCCACAACTTCCCTGAAGAATCCATTCCCATCCTTTCATATTCTTTAAGTCAGAAACTTCCCTATTATCCCTCACAAATCTTTTATGGTTATAACTCAGTCTTCCTTCTTCATGTCTTGCTCCAGATGGAACTGCTGATCCGCTTTCTCTTGACAGCCTTTCACATGTTAGAGAACTAATAATGTGTTTAGTCCTTGAGAATTCTCTTCTTTCAACCTCACTGAGCCCTGTTCCTAACCTTCCTTCACAGTAATATCTTCTAGACCTCTGATTACACTTTCATTTCTCCTCTGGGCAGTCTTCAGCTTGCTGAAGTCTTAAAGAGTGGTGTCCCAGAGTGGAGTTGTGCTGACATCTTGTTAGTGCAAATTAGGGTGGTATAAGCACTTTCCATTACTTATATATATACTGTTTACAGATAAAGCTTCTTTTTTTCACAACAGCATCTTGATTCACTCCCAGTTTGTGACTCAGTGTAACTTCTATGTCCCTTTGCAGAGCTGCTGGCTGGCCAGTCAACTCCTCATATTGCAGCTGTGCATTATTTCTCATTCCTAACAGTTGCATATCATGCTTATCTTTGCAAATTTCATTATGGTGATTTGGGATAATTTCTCAATTTTAGGGAAACTGTTTTGAATTCTTACCCTGTTAATCCTACTGTTGTGGATTAATCCTGGCAGGCAGCTTAGATTTACACAGCCACTCACTCCCTGCCACAGTGGGAAGGGGGAAAGAGTCAGTAAAAGTGAGAAAACTCACAGAATGAGATAGACACTTTAATAGGTAAAGCAAAAAGGGTGCACACAAGTAAAGCAAAACAAGGCATTCACTCACCATTTCCCACCAACAAGCAGATCTGCAGCTCTGTTACAGTAATGGTGACTTGAGATGACAAGCACCTGAATGTGCTCCACTTCCTACCTCTTCCCCAGGCTTTCAATTGCTGAGCGTGACACCTTACGGTCTGGTATATCCCTTTGGTCACTTAGGGTCAGCTGTGTGTGCTGTGTCCCTTCCCAACTCCTTGTGCCCTTGCACACCCTACCCCTAGCCCCCTTCTTGGTAGGGTGAGTGGTGAGAGGCAGAAAAGGCCTTAACAATATGCAAAGGCTGCTTGCTAACTGAAACAGGGTGTGTTATTACCATTGTGTGGTCACAAATGCAAAATATAGCACCATACAAGCTACTATGAGGAAAATTAACTCTGTCCCAGGTAAAACCAGGACACTGCTTGTGGACTCAATCAACTCAGTAGCCACTGCTGGTTTTGGAGTACACTCAGTACCTCACACAGCATGTAATTAATGGAAAGATTGACTAGGACTGGGACTGAGAGAAGCCCTGATAGTACATACTTGAAATGTCCTCATGATTTGACAGAAAATCATTAACTGGAAAACACTGCAAATCAACTGGTAGCATCTGGTTATCTGTATAGTTGGAATTCTTGCATGCATACTGCTGGGTTAAAAAGAGGGAAACGAAGGGGCTCCTCAAAAAAGCACACTGCTGTTCTGTCAGGAAGAAGTTGAAAGAAAAAACCTGTGCAAGATATTCATCATATTTCCTACTCTGCTCTGGGAAGCTTGTCAGATATGGCAAAGTAATCATAGTACAGGACCTTGACTAGAAGTTGTAATTACTTAACTAATGGGCTACTAATTCTGTTATCTTTATAGGCAGAGACATTCCAATCAACCAGGATCAAACTGAGGATGGGACAATTCTAAGTTAATGTTTGCCCACCCTGTTTTGCTAAAATGAAAATAAGAAAGCCTGCCAGTCTGTCGATCAACCCCTTCAGTTTTGTACCATTATCTGACTTGTGTAAAGGGTTTTTCATCTTCATCTGTGGTAGGCAGGCTCAGAGATGGAATGACAAAGTTGTCATTTCTGCTCCAGTGCAGCAGTGATTTTATCTTTATATAGTTTCCATCTTTTTCAGATGTGAGATATATTTGCCCAACATCTTCACAGAACCATTTTTAAGTTATGTGTTAAAATTGACCGTTTCCTTCTATTGGTTGGCAGGATTCACCATTTATTTCAGGTCACACTGGCCTCTTCTGCATCAGTCAGCTAGTTGGCAGAATGAAGAGGAATATGCTGTATATGTGCTGTCATCGGTAATTATTTCTGCAGTAGTTGCAAACGAAAGCACCAACCAGATGTCACTGCCTGATTGCATAGCACAATGCAGACATGCACCAAATTTGTGTTCACAGAGCCCTTGAGGTTACATGGAGAACATTGGCTTGGGTAGCACACGTGACAAGCAGTAATTAGGTAAATCAGTGTAACTCAGTTGCATTTCATTACATGGTCTTATCTGCAGGTCATGTGGCAGTGAAAAAGAAGAGGGCTAAACAGACAAATGAAGGAAAGGTAGAATGGAGGGACAGGATAGCAACGTAAAACCAGGGTTAGTACAAAAGTGAAAAAAAAGTCACAGTGCTGTTGGCTCCCCTTCTTAAGCTTACTGCTTATGCCCTAGTTTTTCCCTTCGGCTAGCTCTGTTTCTCACTGTTGATCCCTTTTGCTCTGCACTTTAATTTAACAAAGAGGAATTTTATATTCCTAAAGACGTGTCTTTAGTATAGGGTATTTTAAGCAAATTTTTTTAAGCAGAAAAAAGATGAAACTAGGAAAAAAAGATGAAATATTAGTTTTTGCTGAAGAGAGGATGCTCTTATGACATGTGCTGCCAAGACTTGAGAAAGCAAGCTTTTTGCTATGGCAAAGCTCTGTAGTAATTACAATCCCAGTGTTGTGGCGTTTGGAAAGTGACAGTTCCTTGCTGACTTTACCAAAAAAATGTCATTTACATGCTTGGTCATTCCTCTGACACTGACAGCCACTTTCTTTGTAATACTTCAAAATTATTCTGGGTTTCTTTCTTCTTTTCTTTGAAGAGTATACTTGATCAATTGATCTTCTTGAGAGAAAACTACTTCAGCTATCTAGTGCGTCTTAGGAGTAATTCACAGGACTGCTTGGAAATACAGGAGGACTGCAAATGCCGGTAGCACAGCTGACAGGGGAGGTTACAGAAACCTCAGCTGCTCTGCCTGCAAAGCTTATACACTTCAGTAATTGATCACACATCAGTATGCAGGACAACAGTTCTGTCCCTGTGCAAGAGACATCCCACATCCACACCCTGTGATGCCCATGGAAAAATAGCACCTGTGACTCCCTGCACACCGCTTTGTGCTCAGAGGCTGAGCTTCTCTTACACCCAGAAAAGAAACCATCAGCTTGAGCATGTTATTGGTGTCACATGGTTTGTTTGAGGTACACTGTCATGATGGTAGGAGGGAGTAAGGACAAGCCTGATGTTTTTAATGCATGAAATAAATCAGAAATTTTTTGAGGAATGCTCAGATTTGATACTGTGATAGCTGCCAAAACTGGAAGTCAGCCTTCAGAGAGAGCAAAATTTTCATGGTGATGGTGATGGTGTCAGGAACTTGCTTCTAAAATGTCACACCATCTGAGGACCGTCAGGGCCCCTCTCATTCCAGTCTCTCACTCAGTCCTGGCTGCCCCAGCAGCAGTGGAAAGCCCAGATAATTTTCAGAAATACAAGTAAGGAAGCTCCTCTCTTTCAAAACACAAGGTTCTTCTTTGATACCCTCTGGGCCACAGTCCGTGCAAGTGTGATGTATTCTGTCAGTCTCAGCTGACTCCTCTGTCTCCAGCTAAATGCATCTTTTAGGAGCTGTTTAATCCTTGGAAGAAATTATTTCACTGTAATGAGTATACACACAAATTCTGGCAATTTTGAACTGTGCACTGGCAGACCTTTTTTTTCTTCCATGGGGAATTGATCTTGAGAGGACAGTATACCTCCTGTGATACCTGATTTTTCAACAAGCAATCTTCTCTTGAAGTGCAGGCCAGCCCAATACCGTGTAGTTTGTTGGAAGTGCTGAAATTACAGCCTGAGGTGGCACAGCTGCTAGAACAAGATCAGCCAAGCGGGAATAGATGCATCAGGGATAAAGCACAAGATGGCCTCCACTAATCCAAACCACTTACCTTCATGTTTCTGCTTTCCATAAAAGTGTAAGTGTCACTTGCCTGTCATTTAACAAGATTGCAAAGGAAGGCCAAGGAATTTTAACTGTTTGCTTCTGAAACAAAATCTATCCCTCATGAATGGGTAGAGCCAGAGCCAGCTACGTGTACGACTAAAGTAAGTCAAAGCACATTGTGATTTATGTCGTTGATTCTCTTTCATTCAGGTGTTCAGTGAGTGAGGTTGCTCTGGCTTTCTGCAAAATGTCAGTGTTGCTCCCAGTGCTTCCCAGGACCAATAAATTGTTTTCACTTCCTTATGAGAGACAAGGAGCAGCAAGCTAAGCAGTCAGTCTAAATCATCTTATTTAGAAACATTAATTTTAAGTAGTTAGTCTAGCAGTTAGTTTATTTGTACATCTTTTTCTCATTTCAGAATCCTATGCTGTCAGTCAAGCTTTGATAGATTATCCTCTAGTTTGAATAAATGAACCTAAAGCTTTACAAGAATGCTCATGGTCTGTCCAGCTGTTTTGCTTCAATTCTCTAGAAAGTACAGTTAGCCTACCATATTTACTGAAATGATTTAGGCACCTTGATTTGTATTAAAACAAAGGTGTAACATTTCTAGGCTTCAGATTAGGTTAGGTCCTCAAGACACAGTTGTATCATGGTGTAGGAAACCCCCATGGTAGATGCAAGGAAGCTCTTGCACAGAGGCAGGGCAATGTCATGTTAGGAAGAAAACTGGGATCCAGGAAGGAATAGGGTCTTCTCAGCCCTGTCACCTGTGCTTTTGTGGCTCCTTGGTGCAGTGTGAGTGCAGCAGCCCTTGATCTGTGGTTTGCACAGCAGAGATGAAGCTGAGGAATCCAAATAGCAGTTGCAGGGCTGTGAAAGCTCTCTGGGGTTGTGGTTCCCAACCCTTTGTGTCTCTTCCTTGGCTGACACTACATCCTGATGGCTGCCTTTTGCCCTCTCTCAGACCCTTTTGCAGCTGAGGAAGTCTCTGAACAACTGATTTCCCAAAGCTGAGAGGGCACAGGGGAGGGCTCAGTCCTGGTTTTGTCCTGTTTCCTAAGCTTTTGCCAAAATACCTAATTTTTTTACCATAGCAATAATTCTGAGAATGTTATTGTTTTTACGATCTCTTTATGGCGAGGTGGAGTTACCCTGTATATGCTCTTAAGTACTGTTTCATTTACCTGTTGGGATTTACTGAAGCAGAATTTGGATTCGTACCACTGTTTTAATAGCCCTTGCTAGGTCTGTTCTCCATTAATTTGTCTAATCCCCTTTGAACCTCTTCATACTTTTGGCTTCCACAATACTATGTGCATGAAGTATCCATTTAATTATGTGTTGTGTGAAAAAGTGCTTCCTATTTTTTAGTTTCAACCATTTGCCTAATAATCTCATTTAGGTTCCCCCTAATTCCTGTACTGTGGGAAAAACCCAATCCATTTCCCAAGTACCATCTCCACAGGAAGGGATTTTGTAGGTCAGTATTTCCTGTCAGTTTTCTGCTTTCCAAGCATGCCCAAAGTGTATATACTTTATGCCTCTGTATGTTGGCAGTGTGGTGGGCAGGAGACTGGACCAGAGAGGGGAGGTTTCAGTGCTTTCAGCTGAACTTCCCTTACTTGTTGTAGGATAATTGAAATCCAGTGGATTGCTGAACAAAGAAAGAAGCTGAATGTCAAATGTACAAGGATATCAGGGCTATTCCCTTCTTTTGTTTACCAAAGAGATTGCTTGTGCTTCAAAGGAAGAGGTAGACTAAAATTAGGACTAAAACACATCCATCTGACCTTAGTTCTGGAGAGGGTGGCTGCTTGGAAGTAAGTGGAAATGTCAGTCTTCTTGAGAACCATGGTTTCATTACTTCTTCAGTGGTGTTCTTGCATTTCACTTTATCTGTACAATTTTGAGTTCTTTATCTGTACAATTTTGAGTTACTTCATCGCAGTAGTAGTTTTCCACTCCCTGTGCCATGTTTGAGCTGTTCCCTCGAAAAAGGAGCATTAAAACTGCTGCAGTACCAGTGGAGCAGGTCATCCGTCCCTCCTTCACCATTAACCCTGTTAGAGGCTCTTTTACCTTCTACCTCTTCTGAATTCAGCAGCCTCCAGGAAGCTTAATCATAGCTGAGAGTCTCTGCTTCCTCTTCAGTTGGTTTTTGTTTTGTTTTTTTTCCCCTTTGAGCTATCCTTTAACTTTGCTCCAATGCTTGAAAGATCTAATATTCCATCTAAATTGAATATTGAAATATATTTTTAGATTCCCTCTTTATCTCTGTCTGTAGTCTCTAGAGTCTTGAATCCGCCTCAGTTCAACAAAAGCACATGATGAAGTGCCTATGTGCTTTGCAGTATTGGGACCTGAACACTGATTTCTTATTCTCAGTTTTGTTTTCAAAACATTTAAAATTCCCAGTCAGGTCTAGCAAGACATTTTACTTATTTCCCCCTATTTTTAATAGTATCTTTCTTCAAATTAATAATAAATAAATGAAATATTTTGTGCACATGTGTATGCACGTTACTGTCACTGGAATTTAAAAGCTAAAGATATTATGATCCTAAAATCCTTTATGTTTCTTGGCATGTAACACGCATACTGAGATTATAATAATAGACTTGTGGCCAGGAGCAGCTGTCTCCATTAAAAACTAAAAATCTTTGGCAAAGTATTTCCATACTATTCCATACTGATACCAGACTAGTCTTTCCTTAAAATCAGAAGAAGCTGTGTAGTAAGTAATTGCCGTTGTCTTGTTCAGTATGTCATCAGCGCCTCATGAGAAATAGTGGCAAATTGCACATGATAAATACATATCCAGAGATATTCCAGACCTGAAGCTTCCCTTTGAGATTATATTGGTTTAGGGGTCTTGGCAGAGCTTTTAGAATGGTTATCAAAATCTCAGATCAAATAATTTTACAGATTTGAAAAACTCAGATAGCTATTTTCCTCATAGACATAATTCAAAATATGACCTACTGTTTCAATGCAAGCATCAATCACCAGAAGCCATGTTGGAATCAGAATAAAAATGCACTGTTCTCCAGCCACTAACTTACATTTACTCAAACAGGCACTGACCAAGTTAAACAAGCAATAAAAGTGGTATTTTGGGGGTACTGACTGATAGATGAGTTCCTGATTTGTGAGGGCATTTGAGCCCTCATAGGGCTCAGGGAAACATTTAAGCGCTTGTTTCTTTTTTTCTTCGTTTTTAAATGAAACCTCTTCCCCCTCTAGCTCTCTTATCTATTGATGTAACTGGTGTTGCATGAGAAATTACCTCATTTCAGTGACTGGAGACAGCTTTTCTATCAGCTGCAGTAAGGTTTCCTCATTTGTTTAATGAACCTGGATAGGTAGAAAATTAAGTATTAGGAGCTGCAGAGGAAGAAAACTAAACCAGAATGTTCTGTGTATTTGGGTGGTTTAAAAAAATATATCTGTATTAATATAGTCAGGACATGTAATTGGTATTTAGATTATGGCATGATTATTGCTTTGCAGACAAGGGACTCCGTTATCACTCAGTCATCAATGAAGTAGCTGCATTCTGTGCTCATCTCATCTCTGAAGCTGAAAGAAGAGCTAGTTATTATCTTCAAGTGAGTTATTAATGAGGGGAAAAATCATCCCCAATTACTGTGAAGCAAAATATTTCAACATTTACATATCTCAGACTTTAATTTTGATCTAATCCTTCATGAGTTTTTAACCTCAGACAGTATTCACTTTTCCAAACATTCTCACAGTGGGATATTGAGAGGAACTTCCGCCTGTCCAAGTGCTGGCTTCCCTCAGGGTATGCTGCAGGGTCACAGAAGTGCTGCCCATCCTGTCCTTGTGCTGCTAGAGACTGATTTCCTCTGAGATTCCTTCATGCTGCACCATAGGAACAGAGCCTCCACTGTCAGCTGTGCCAGAGAAAAAAATTCTGAGTTGTCTATACAGTCTGTGTTCCTAGACTGTTTTGGTTTTTTTTTCTTAACTAGAAACAGCCTGAAATTTATTTGTAAGGGCTAATTTTGTTCTTTTGCTTTCCTTTGAATTCTTTTGAAATTAATGGTTTGGAAGTTTTGACTCTCAACAGCCTAGAATATAACCTGTGCAACACAAAGGTGATGATTTAAATTCATATAAACATGCAGGCAGTAACCAGGAGATGGGAGAAGTGCTGTCCACACTGTGAATCCATCCATCAACACAGATGTGAAGGTCTGACCTTGGCAGATTCAGGGGGTAGGGATGTCAAACACAGTTTGCAGTCAATTGGAAATGTAGCTACTAGACAAAGAAAACTCAATAATTACACAGCTGTTTCAGAAGATTACAGATTTCCTAGAAAACAATAAAACAACCATCTGTGAATGGAAAAAAAAAGTAAACTGTCTTTTTTAATTCAAAAACAATTCTGAAAGTCATTAGATATGTCCCCTGTAAACTTCTTATCTGTTTTGAAAAGTGACAGAGTCTGAAACCAATCGGTGTAGATTTCTCTACGGCATTTATGCCCATTCATGCTTCATTGATATACAGTGAAACTGCTGAAGGACTGTCTTGAATAGACATATAAATATTAATTACTTATGAAAGATGGCTGCTATTAAACTAAATATTAAATGAATTCATAATACTTGGACATTTGCAATAAATCACTACTGGGACTGCATACTAACATCCCATTCCTTTTTTTTGTAATATTAAAGCCATGGAAAAGAGCTGGTTGCTCCCAAAGAAAGCTTTGTAACACTAGAATCATTAATGAATTCCCACAGCACAAGGAGGAGTTTCAGCTTAGTCCCATTTTACAGATAGAGGGAGGCAGGTAGTGGTTTAGGTTGAACTGCTGATCACAGAAGGCTCAGACCCAGTCTGTTTCTCATGAGAGATATCACAGTAAATTATCGGTTCCTGACAGTCCTTCTTTTGCTTGAAATGCTCTGAGCAGCGTCAGCAGAGGATCTGGCCGTGTGATAGCAGAAGGCTGAGAGCCAGACTCAAAGGGAGAAAGAGCTGGACATACTGTCTAATCTCCATGCACACAAAGTGGTTGGTATCAGGTCACCTTTAAATACCTTGCCAAAGGCCACAGCTTGAAGGATGGTACGGCTCAGGTTTTGACTAGGCTTAGCAATTGAATTAAGTCATCTTCTCTCTTCCAAGATCACAGATCTTAGTTTCAAAAGTTTACTAAAATGCTCAGCAGGGGCTAAAACTCAATTCTTTCTTTTTCCTTTTATTAAAGTAGAACAAAGGATAGATCAGCAAGGTCATTATAGCTTTCTGTTTTCTAAGGGATAGTAGCTTAAGAGTATAAATTTATGCCAGGGCTAACAAGGAAGCTGTTCTTGTAAACAAAACTGAATGACTATCAGACTCATCTGCTTTTTAATGTGTAGATGGGTATGAGTATATGCACCTCCTTCATTCCAAATATGTTTGCTTCTCTGCCTTAAATGGTTTAAGTTGTGCACGGTTTTTCTAATGAAAATTTGCCAAGGTATTTAAATTAGAAGCAAAAATTAGAGAAGCTGCTACCACACAGGAATATTAATTGTTCGTTATACAGGGCTTTAGTTCACGTAGTTACTTTGCATTTGCAAGACTGCCAATTAGAGAGGCTCAAAGTTCTCACTGCTGCACAATAGCCATTTCTCCAGAGCCCCACAATGTCTATTGTATTCTGCCACTGACCTTTGGACACCTTCAAATGCTTATTGACACAGGATGCTGGGATCATTAGAGCTATTGTTTCAGTGTGCCACAGGAAGAGTTTTGCAACTTCATGAAGAGTTTTAAAATTTTATATAATGATCACAGCAATGGTATTTTTTAATTAGACAGCGAGAGAAAAATTGAATAATTTTTTCTGGTGTTTCAGGTGAATTCCAGAATGCCCACTTTCCATACAGTCCCTTCCCATCAGGGAAAGAAGATATTAATCTGGGACATTTTGTCCACTTTCCTATTGTTTGCAGAGGAATTGATTTCATTTTTTTGACCTGGTGGTGCCATATGGCCAGCCTTCCTTAGCTTCCATGGATTCTGCCTGGGTGAACATCTTGACAGGATGGATCCTTTCATCCTGTAAGTGCAAAACATTCTTTTAAGACATAACCAGTGGTATGCAGGAGACGAGGATCTGGCTACACAGTTCAGACTCTGCTCTTCAAAAATCAGTGGACTTTGGCTCTGTGACAACAACCGTGCTTTATCTCTTCTGTATTTTGACATCTAAGGTATTCTTGTTTTCTTACCAGTCCATGATGGTTAAAGAGTGCAAACAAGAACTTTGGAAGCAGAGATACCAGATACTCCAAGTGCATTTACTGTAGTAAATCCAAGCATCTTCTAAAAACTTGTATTTATTTTATTGTAGCTTTTCTGTTCTTTAAATCTGCTTTGAGAAAATACTAAAGCAGTCAGAATATAAAAGAGCATAATTCTAAAGCTTGCATGGGACGTTTTGTCTACAGAGAATAAATAAATTGCTGCCTCGTATTTCCAGTGAGTGTTCCTACTTGAATATATAGAGAGAATTTCTGTTCCATAAGTCTTGCCGTTTCTGGGTTTGATTTTATCCCCTGGGATCCTATTATTGAACAAATTATCAAATACAGCTAAACTTCACAGCCCTGAGCCTCTGAAGATAGTTTTGGTAATGGCTTGCACTTCTGAAAAAAGAGGAAGAAATCTAATAGACCTTTTCAAAACTTCATGTATCGTTTTTTAAAAATGGAAAAATTTACTGCACAGCATTTCTGGTTGCAACTCTAACCTAGCATTATGGAGTATGTAGCAGAGGATGTCCAGTTTCTACATACAAACCTCTAGCCAAAAATCTTTCAAGATGAAGGACATGGTATTTGTGTGTGTTTGAGGTAAATGTGCAGCAGGATTTCTTGCGCTGTTACAAAATCCAAAAGGTCAGATGTGTTTCCTTAGGAATGCAGGCTAGACTTTTTTTTCCCCATTAATTGAAAGGGTGCTCTTATCATCTTTTCATTTCTCTGTGTCAGAAACCCTTGTAGAACTTTGAAACCTCCCATGCACTGCCACTGCAATTGCCAATTGTGAATTTTGTGGTCTGTCTTCAAACATCAAGGTGATACCTTTACCTTAACACATGAGGGGAAGTGACCCACTTCTGGGAGGGAGACACGAATAGTTATTGCTGTGTGTTGCAGGATGTGCAGGGGAGCATGTTCTGGAGAGAGCTGTTGAACCAGACTTTCATGCCTCTGTTCTCCCTACTGTAAATCCGCATCAGATAGTAAAAGAGGCAGTAATGATGAATGCTTCTCTTGCAGTGAGCTGGGATCCCAAATCTCTCCTCAGCCCATTGTGCTTCCCAGCAGAGTTTTTAGCCATGGGTCCTGATTTCTTACTTGTGGGATGTATCTCTATTGAGGGACAAGATTCTCCTTGAAGAGAGAGGGCAGCACTCTGCTTGCTGTCTTCTCTGCATGGGAAATTTGTATTTTTGCTGTACCAGTGTAGTTGCACTTTCTTTCAAAAGGCACATGATCACTGCCTGGATAGATTTGAAAATGGGATAACCTTTGCAGTATGTTTGGTCCTTACTCTACTGAGGTAGTTGAAGCCCTTTTCAATGGGGAGGGATTTTCATAGGATCTTTATTATAGAAAGTTCAAATTCTGCATGGATCCACCTTTATGGCAGTTTTGAGAGGTTTCCTGCCACACACATTGAGGTTTTCCAAAACAAAAGCAAAGGGTGGTGGTATATCTGCTCACTGCTCATGTTTTGTTTGGTTCCTTTGCAGAAGGAGAAGAAGAGTGGGCTGTTGAAACTTCTAGCAGGAGCATCAACAAAAAAGAAGTCACGCTCCCCACCATCTGTGTCCCCCACGCATGACCCCCAGACTGCCATTGAAGGAGTTCTGCAAGGGGCAGTGGGGCCTGAGCTGTCCTCCCTCTCCAGTCACGGCAGAGCTGGCTCATGCCCTATTGAGAGTGAAATGCAAGGAGCCATGGGGCTGGAGCCTCTGCACAGAAAAACAGGCTCCTTGGATTTGAATTTTTCCATCCCTTCACCTGTCAGGCCACCCCTCTCTTCCATGGCAGCTATTCGGCCAGAGCCCAAGCCTTTGCCCCGGGAAAGGTAAGTTGTGCTTCTCCCAAGGTTGCCTGCATCCACAGGGAGCAATTGGAGGAGGGGTGGAATTTTAACTTGCTCAAGAGTTGTTGCAGTTCTGATGTTCTGTTGATTGACTGTACATGGTTCAGCTGTCTTTTAGGAAGACAGGGCTTACATGCATCTGCCCATTGAAAATCATTTGGTACACTGTGCAGGTTTAAAGAAGTGTTTAAGAGCACCTGTCCATGACACTCCACAGCTCTCGTCTAAACGTGGAGGACAGCAGTGCTTTCTCAGCCCAAATGGTGTAAATGCTGTTGGCAAATGCCACATTTTAAATGGGATTCCAGTATTTTAACTTAAGGACTTGACATACTATGTCCCATCTAGACATGTCCCATTCTGAGTACCAAAGACTGTTTCAAATTCTTCTTGTTTAGAATACTTACAGATACGGCCATCTTCAGTGACCTGTTACCAAAAATGTAGCTTGTTTCTAGACAGGGATGTACCAGTGATTCTGGAGTTCATTTCAGCAGCCTGCTTTCCACCTCGGTACCTCAGAGTAAATGACTTCACAAACCGGAAAAAAAAAATAAATAATAGGAATACCAAAATACAAAAGCAGGTGGAGAGAGAGATAACTGACCAGAAAGGAGCTAGGGGGTTGCAGAAAAGAGATAGGTCTCCATGTGCAGAGTGACACTGGCTTCAGATAAATGTTTTCCATAAGACTGCAGCTTGAGGACTGGAAAGGTAATAGATAATTCACAGCTACAGTGCTATTAAAATGCTTTCCACTCAAAAGGTGGTGGAGGAAAGCGTGTTTTTTACAAAAGCATTGAAGAATTTTCAGAAAGCTGTTCAGGGAACACTCTTGAATTGGTATTTAAAACAATTTTGAAATAATATTAAAATTACAGAAATTGGAAAGAAACTAATTTTGTTGCAGTGTATGGAAAAGGCTGAAGGGAATGGACTGGGCAAGGCACCTGACCCTGAATCCTGTGGGGATCATGAAGCAGATGATACATAATAAAGGACATTACAGGACCATCCATACCTTATGCAGTATTTTACAAATCGGAATTTGGTTGAGAAGATGACGGAGACACCATAACAAACTTTTTTAAGGCAACTGGTTTGTTACCATAAAACTTCTTGCTGAGTAAACTGTACACAACCGACCCAACAGATACTAAGTGGATTGAAAATTGAGTCACTGGCATCAAATCAAACTCTACATCAGAAATCACTAGAACGTGGTTATTAATGGATGTAGTGCAGCCCAACAAGAGTGAGGTCCTGAACATGAACTGTCAACATAAAAACCTTTGCTGTTGTAGAATGAGGACTGAAGTGTGAGGTGGGTGATAGGTAGGGCTGATCTGTTGGTACAGAGCTAATTCAGCTCCTGCTCAGGTGAACACAGAGTAACAGTATATTTCAGAAGAGGAAAATCTGATGCAAAGTGAAGTGGACTCAGAGAAGTATCATAAGAAAAATGGAAGATTTAAAAATATATACTTGCAATGAGAGACACGGGGAGCTCTGGCTTGGTACAGAGTGGTACACTTGGTAAAGAGCGTAGGGATGGCATGGTAACATAACAGTCTGTAAGAGACTGCAGTCAGGACAGACATGGGAGTATTTTCACACTAGATTTGGCATTTTTTCTGAAAGAGATGCTTTTGTTCAGGTACAGCTGTTAGACTTGAAGCAGAAATAAATACAGTCAAGTCCTTCAGCATTGTAATGAAGGCAGGGAGAACAGACTATTGCAGTAGTCTCTTGTCCTTAAAATCCATGAAAAAGTAATTTAGTAAAAGGAGTGAAAAACCAAGCTGCTGTTCTCAAAGCTTTACTATAGAGATCTCCAGACACATTATTTAATATTCCAGGGGTAGTCCCATACCCTAGAAATTGCTCAGTCCACCTCAGAGTGGTCCAGGTAGGGAAACATTTAACTGATAACTATTTTAAGTGGCAGAATAGAACCAGAGAGACAAAGGCTACCTGCATTCTCTTCGCTGTGCTAGAATCAGGAGCAAATAGATTTAGAGTGCTAAAACTGAGTAAATGCTTCCAGCTGCAGTATATGGTGATAAGGAACTTACTCTGATTTTACGTATTTTGATTCCTGAGTCTTAAATCTGAAAATAAGCTATAATTGAAGTAACCATAATTATACACAGCAGGCAAGATTCTTTAATTGATTTATGAATTAACTTCCATATCATTGGTGTATCTGCATTCCTTAACTGATCATATGGGTTTTTTCATGTCCATAATGGGAAATATTAATTACCTTCATGCACTAGGAAGGATAATGCTTAGTCCTGGAATAATCTGAGCAGATACATTAAACACTTGTCTGCTAGAAATTCATCCCACATCCATCTGTGCTCATTAAATCATCAAATTTCTCAGAAGTACCAAATTATATTTTTTTTAAAACAAATTATGATTTTCAAACCACTTGTTCTTTTCACATCTGGCAATGGAGCAACTTGCATTAAACGTCACTCAGCTCCATATTTTGCTTGTTTGCATTTTGGTGCATTTCATCCGCACAGTAGGAGCAATTCTCTGAGAAAGAAAAGGGAGGAGAGGGAAAAAAGGGTTAGATAAACAGATTCAGATGCTGGAAGAAATTTTAAAAAGCTGCAAAGCATTTCAGTACACTTAGCTGTACTTGGCTTTCTGTCTCCCAACGCCCATCTGTGCACACAGAAACAGAGCACTGAAAGGTTGGAAGAAGTAGCACATTCCTTAATATTTACGGCATTCAAAATGAGGCTCATGCAGGCAGCAGAGCACTGCTACTTTTTCTATAGAGGTTGGCTTGCAGCTCCAGCACTCGCCACATCCAGGTTACTGATCAAACCCAGTGCACCAAGAGGTGCATTAAAGGGCTCTGACTGCTTGCAGCTCACTCACTGTTTAAGGGATGAGTTGCCTATTCTGCTGCCTGACAGTGCAGACCTTTCTGAGGGTTGCAGCCAGGTAGACAGAAAGATGAAGCATGCTTCACCCTCTTGGAGATGCTGTAAATGTTTATACTCTCAGTCTTTTTTTTTTTTTTTTTTTTGTACATAGAGAGGGAAACAATTTTCGTCTTCTTTTTCTTGATATTCCAAAGCATGGCTGTGGATGACTAGATTAGGAAGAAAATTGCTCCTAGCTCTCCTGTCATTTAGCTTTCATATTTGTCTGGTTTGCTGGGGTAGTCAGAGCCCATCTCTGCCTTTTGGGTGTAGTTTCCACTGCCAGTTTATAAAACCACATTCCTTCACATGCTCTCTGCCATAAAGCATCCAAGCAATCTAAGCAGCAGAGCAGAGAAATTTCCCAGGTGGTGCCCTTGTCACTTCATGTGGCAGTGATTGACTGCCAAGTGAATACCCCATCAGGCTGTATGTGCCCCACACACTCTTTTCCACCTACTGCTCCATCCAGTTTCTGCTGGTGCGAGGAACAGGAATGGTACAGGGAAGCACTCTGGTGAGGCAGGCGCTGTGCCAGAGCCTTGCCCACATCCCACCGATGCTGTCAGCTCACAGGAGGGGTGTGCTGTGTGCCTGGCAGCACCAAAACAAAATACTTCCCTTGCCACCCCCTTCAAGAAAATGTGACTGTACATTAAGCAAAACAGGAGAGTTGAGTGTGTGCGTGAGTCATGTTCCCCTCGCTGTCTGGCACTGTTCCCAGAGGCCAACCTGAGTAAAACATGTCACGCATTGTTGACTCTTTTATAGTAACTGGCACTAACTCTGCCGTGTTATATTGTGATAAAGCAGCTGTGGCCAGACTTATTGTCACAACTGGCATATCTGTGCTGCATTTCTATGGTTTTCCTGCAGCCTTCAACCAAATTATAGCCACAACATGCTGCACAATAAGATGGGAGCAGAAAGTTTGACCTTTAAAATAGATCCCTCCATGTTTCTATGTATCTTTCCACAAATCACTGCCACATTAGAAACTGAGTTCCCAATTCAAGGAAGCATTCAAGCATGTGCTTAACACCCATTGACTTCAATTTTGCTGTGCTCATATGTCTTCTTTGCCAAAAAGGAAAGCAGAAGAATGGTTCTTTTAATTCCTGGAAAGTGATACTAGAGAAATGACCCAAGGAGTAATTTCTGACTGAACAGTGACATGTATTCACATGGTTAAGTGCTTCTCTGTGTAGGGATACTTGCCTTAGGACTGGGAACGAACCATCAACCATCTCAGAAATTGAATCCTGAGTTATTTCCAGCAGAAAGGTAAAAGACCCAACTGAGACTTTTTCTTCTAAGGCTACTGATTCAGTCACCATACTTTGGAGGAGCAGGTTTTGGCTTGTAGTCTGCAGAGCTGCCTTGCAGGTCTCTGCAATTTGCCAGTGAAAGGATAAAAAACCAGAGATCCTCTGGTAAACAAGAGCAATGGTTAACTGGGCTAGATGCTTCATTTGCACTGATTATCCATTGCCTCCAAAACTAACTGTGTATCCCTAATGTATAAGAGACCTGTTGGAGTCACAGGACTGCACTCATGCAACCTGTCCTTAGTGCATGATACTTTGAGAAACAGGAATTTGCATTAAGCATCCAAATTAAAGCACACTAAATGGGATCAGACTGGAGATTAGCCCCACAGACCTAATTTGCCTCATTGCACATTTTCTTAAGTTGCTCTTGTCCCATCAGTGTCCTGGATACACATATTTACTCAATGAGTATTTTAGGGTTGTTTGAGAGTGTCCACGGCTGAGTTCAGCCATTTATTACTGATCAGTTCTGATCAATACTGTTCAGTGCTTGCCTGCACACTGACAGAGGGCCTGTATGAGTCATTCAGACCAGACAGGACTCCTACACAGCCAGTGTGCATGAGATGAGTCTCTCTCTGTGGAAAGTGTGGCACGAGGTTTTACAGCTGAAGGAGTCAGAGAAGCCACTTTCCCCACATCTGCACCACTCAGTGCACTTCATCATGGTCTTGCTAGAGATATTCCAACCTCTGCAAAAGGTGGGGTGGCTCCCATGTCAGAGCCTTGACTCACATCCAGAGCAGCATCTTGTGCACTAAATGAAGCAGGCATCCTAATGGAAAAATAGTATGCAGTCTTACAATGAAAGATTATTTTGGAAGACAGCAAAAATAAAGTCATGGACAATTTTATTTGCATTTTTCTTCCTCTCAGATGCATGGGTGTGAAACACTCGTGTTCTTTTAAGGTTGTAAGATGTCTTTATGTATCAACACACATAATATTTTTAATCATTTTGCTTCTTTAAAAGAAACAAAGCCATAACTTCCATCATGTGACATCTGTTTGAGGTTAGGAGTCTTATTTGCACCTTCCAGATTTCAGTAGGAGTAGTAAAGGGAGGGCTGGGCGGGAGAGGTGTTTCTTTTGGCTGTGAAAACAAGTGCTATGAAGACAGGGGACAGGGGGATTGCAAGGTCTTTGCTGACAGCAGAGGATAGACCTATTCCCAGCTCAGTGAGATAACTGCTGCCAGGGTGCCCATGCCACCCTCAGCTCCAGTGCCAGCCTCTATTGATGCAGTCTCCTGCTTCTTGGGATGCCATGTCCCTGCCCCAGGCTCCCTCCCACCAAGGCTTGTTGCTCTCCGAGACTCAGCTCAACAGAGCTTCCCCCCTCAGCAGCCATACCCACACCTTCTATCAGGGCTTCCAGTTTTCATCACAGTCACGCTTCTTCCTCTGCTCCCAGTTTTTCTCCCGTCAGCCTCCCTCTTCCTCCACCTCATCCCTTGCTTTACCCCAGTCTCCATCTCCAGGGGTTTCCCTGCCCAGGCAAAACTCATCCCCAGTCCTTGCTGATACTACTTGCAGCTTCTCCTCATCTCTTGTGCACCAAGGACCCTTCCCAGGCCACTGCCTGTCCATCCTGGGCAGTAGCCTCCAGGGATGAAGTGCCCAATCCAAGGATGCCACAGCAGCCAGCAGTGAGGATGTCCAACATCAAGTCTGTCCCCTAAGAGAAAAATACAAGAGGGGTCCAGTGCTAAGAAAGGAAGAGAAATGCAGCTTCTGAGGTCTCACAGAGCTAGGACAGCTTAGAGCATGAATCAACAGAGATTTTACTTTCAGTGCTCATACAAGCCTAAATATATGCCATTTTGGAGTAGTTTGAATGTTTTTAACCTGGCTGAGAGTGGGTGATTTTCTGAAGGAACACCATCCCTGACAGACCAGTGGGACCACAGGACAGGTCTTTGCTTCCAAATACAGGACCTCAGAGCAGTTTGTGGAAGTGCTCATATGGGTCCTGCTGGTGCTGCAAAACCCCTCATTTTATTCTTGGAAATGATGTGGCCATTGGGCTGCATGTTGCCTGATACAGACAACTGCTGTGGAGAATTTGGGCCAAAATTATTAACATTTGGCAGAATTGTAACTATATAAGACAGATTTACACAATTTACAACAGAAAATACGAAAAATTGTTAATTGTAGTCAGAGGTGGTTGCCACATTTGTCATCATAATTGTTGCTCATAATTAGCATTTTTGAAAGTTGGTAATTTAGAGGTGGAATGTGACACAGACAAAATTTAGAGCACTGAGATCCATCTAAAATGCCGAGCGACAGTTTGGTATAGGAAAACCTACAATTTTATAGCATCTTCTCAAAGGACAAAAGGGGAAATAAAAAGGGGAGATATAAATAGAAGTATCCCGGACTGCCTTTTTGGGAGTGAGGGAGGATGTCTGGGAGAAGAGACCTTTTCTGCCAAAAAAAATGATGGCTAATAGCTGTCCCTGCAATTCCGTTCCAGAGGATAAGCGGGGCTGAGGTGCCACCTGGAGGTGTGGAGGGGCGGCACAGCTCCCTGTGCCCGCACAGTGCCGGGATGCTGCCCCTGCAGCCCCCACCGGGCTGCCTTTCCCAGTCTCTGCTTCAAACCTCTCGAGGGAAAAGGCATCGCATCTTTTCCATCTCTCACAGAAGAGTTCTTAACTGATTGCAAGGTCTTTCCTAGCTAGTATTGTTATTATATCAAAAGCATCTTTGGTACTATATTGTGAGGTACTGTAGTCAATTAAATTTAACCATAGCATTTAGGGTCTCCCAAATAGGAAAAAGTACCTCATTTTATAATGCAGGGAGAGATTTATTTCTCTACGTTGCTAAGAAGATGCTGTTTAGAACCCTTTTTATGACAATGGGTGCATTCCTGTTGAGTGTGGTCACCTGTCTCCTCATGTGAACCATCAGGGACTAGCAGTTCATCACTCTGAGGATGTAGTTTTGCTTTAAAAGGATATCGCTGTGCCTTTGGTATAACATGAGACCATCTGGGTCTTCAGAGTGACCCTGCCCAAGACACCACCTTTTTCTGAGTTTCTGTTTCCTGACTTGCCAGAATGGTCTGTGAGTACCTCCATAGCGCTCAACTAATGTTGAGGTCCCACCTCTTTTCTTTCTCAAGGCCTCCTGAGTTCCTGATGCAGAGCTCCAATGTGCTGTGATTGTGCGTAAGAGTAGTGAGATCTGAAACTTGGCATCATCTTAGCTGAAATTGTTCCACTCTGATAATTTAATTAATCAACACTGCAGCAGAGTGTTTGAAATAATGTGTGCATTCATTTGCATAATGAGTGTAATTGGCAAAGCTTCATATTATAAGTGTAGCAGTTCCACAGATGATAGCTTGATAGACCATTTTCCTGCACACGTTTCAACCCCTGTTATTTGCTTTTCCACAGAGGAAGGAAGTGACAACTAGATTTATTAACCAAGGTACAGAGAGGATCGGCAAATTTTGATGGCACTTGAACACATACAATTTCCACAACTGTGTTGCTCTGTCAAGATAAAAAAGCCATAATCAGGTATTAGGACAGAAGCCTGGAGTTTAATAGGTTGTTTGGTTGTGGAGATGTCCAGACAGAGTCAAAGCTGGTATTTCCTGTGTCATTCCAAAGTGGAAGTCACCTGAGCAAAGTCTGCAAAAGGAAGTGTGTGACTGCCACTGGAGAGCGCCTTGCTTTGGTACTATCTCATTGGGGATGGCCTTGGGGCACGGTCCATAGCCTCCAGGGCATGTTAAAGTCCCCAGGGACAGTATATTATCTTAATTAAGTACTTATCTTGTTACAAACAGGACTCAGGCATTGGTGGCCAGGCAGCAGTTGTGAAGATATTAATTCTCAGGAGATGGGCTTTAGGTAATCAATTGGCAACTTTTAACTATCTTACTATATTCATTACTTTGCAATTAGTAAGACAGTTATTGACTGTTAACCAAATGCCAGATGACTGCAGAAGTGCTGAAGGAATAAAAAAACCAACCGTGCAGTAGATAAATATTCCCTGCTCTGCACACAAGTGCATTGATATAAAATGGCCTGGTCTGTGCTCTCAGAAGGACGCCTGCTGATAAGCTCTGAGTGCAGAATAGCTGTATCAGGCTCAGACACATCATTACTTCATTGAAATGAAGTGACACTTGAAAACGAAGTTCCCAGAGAGAGCTCTGAATGGTTCAAGACTGGGGCTCCCTGTTGGTTTGGAGAGTGCTTTGAAAGTCACTTGATACCTCTCCATTTTAGTTTCCCTTCCAGGTTTGAGGCACCCAAAGTACATTCTCAAGGAACCTTATAAGAAGAAAAATGTGATCTGCTTTAGCTAACATCTGCTGGTGTCACAGGCAGTGGGAGCACTGCAAACCCCATTTTTCATCATCAGTGGACAAGGGAAGAGAGCGTATCATATATCTGGACTTCTGTAAGGTCTTTGACATGGTCCCTCACAACATGTCTCTCTAAACTAGAGAAGGATGGACTGTTTGGTGGCTCAGGAATTGGTTGGACGGTCACATCAGGAGGGTTGTGGTCAATGGCTTAATGTTTTAATGGACACTGGTGATGAGTGGTGTCTCTCAGGGGTCCACACTGGGACCAGTGCTGTTCAATATCTTCAGTAACAGAGAAGGTGGAATTGAGGGCACCCTGAGGAAGTTGGCAGATGACACCAAGCTGATTTATGCAGTTGACATGGGCTCTGAGCAACCTGCTTGAGTTGAAAATGTCCCTGCCTCTGGCAGAGGGGTTGAACTAGATGACCTTTAAAGTCCCTTCCAGCCAAATTGTTCGATCATTCTATGATGCTATCAGTTTTGGATGGAGCAAATGCAGAGCTGAGTAAGACATGTTACAGCAGAGATGCAGCACTAGGATTAGGCAGCCAAGTCCTGGCACAGGCTCAGCGCACAGCTGGAGACAGGGACACCATGAATGCTCCATCCATTTGACAACACGTTCCCGCTTTCATGGACTGGCTCCAGTGTACGTCCTGGTCAGTTGTCCAGCCAAGCTGGCCAGAAATTTCCATCTTCCTCAGTTTTAGTAGAAAATTGCATCGCATACAACCAGTGTGTGAAAATGTAACTTGCTGATATTTCCAAAAGTCTTTTCCCCAAGATCTCTGGTACTGGTGCCCAGCTGCTCCCATCAAGTGCAGATTAACCAAGTCTTTGCACATTTTTTTCTCCAAAGGTACCGCGTTGTGGTCCCATACCCACCGCAGAGCGAGGCGGAGATCGAACTGAAGGAAGGTGACATTGTGTTTGTGCACAAGAAACGGGAGGACGGCTGGTACAAAGGGACGTTGCAGAGGAACGGCAGGACGGGCCTCTTCCCCGGGAGCTTTGTCGAGAGCTTCTGAGGACGAATCGCCGCTCTCTCAACTGAGGAGCTTTCAGGGGAAACTGCATAGCACAAGAGACAGCAAAGAGAAACTGGACTGATAACCACTGCCATTTTTATTTCCAAAGACTTCCCCCAGGCCCTTCAGTCTGCAGCTCCGGAGACACAGTGCCCCGCTGTGCTCCCGAGACCGTGTGCAGTGCATACAGTGGTATGTTGAAGTAGTGCCTTCCACCTGGAATCACAGACTGAAAGGACGCCCATCTGGACTATAGTAACCTAAACTCTGGCTGTTAACCTTTTGTGTAAATTATAGAGAAGATATCTTTAAAAAAAATTAAGAGGAAAGCTGTTATATTGCTGTAACTTATTTGTCAGAGCTGCAGTGTTCTTATTACTGGCCTATGCAAGATGGATTTGAGTTCAAGAAGGTGTGCTAGGAAGCTCTTAAACAGGGATTTTGTTTTTACCAAGGGAAGAAGAGGGGAGGGTGGAGAAAACCCCAGCTAAAGATCAGTGCATCATTGTGCAAGTAAGAATGAGGAGTCAAAAACGTTAATGTCATGCTTTCTATATACCTCAAAGATATGCTGCGCAGGTTTGTCGGTGCGTGTCGGTGTTAAGTGCTCAGAGTGCTACACCACCCCTTGTCCTGGCACTGCTGCCAGGGAGGTCCTGGAGGAAGTACAGCTCCACCATTAAACCGTGGTTATTTGAGCAGAATCCCTTTTGCCTGTCTTCTGCCCGTATTATATGCAGCATGGATTTTTGTCCTTCGGTATCACTTTCCATTGCTTTTTTGTACGACGTACCTTTTTACTGTAAGAATTGCTCTACTTTATATATATTCCTACTAGATCAGACATTTCCTCTTTTTCATACATCTGGTGCTATTTTTTTTAATTGTTAAAAGATTTGGTTAAACAGAGAGGCTGCAACAAGATTTGCATTCAACATATGAAATTAGAAACGTACCTGAAGATTGAGATCAGACTGCTTGTTCTTGCATCAGAGAGGAAAAAAGAAAAAGCTGCATGGTCACCGATAAATGTACCAGGGGGAGCTGCCTGTGCAACATACACATGCTTGCTCTCTCCTACATATTTAGAGTGGCTGAAGACCCATGCTGAAGCACAGCGTTCTGTCTGGAGGGTGATAATGACTCCAGAATTGGAAGTAATTCCCAGAGGAGTCATTTTAATTGACTTTTTCATGGCAATAAGAAGAACACTGCAGGTTCTAGCACGCGCAGGGACCGTGGAGTTTTCCTCTGTCGTTGCATGACGGAGATGAGAGCTGATCTGCGACACCAGTAATTAGTGTTATGGAAATGTGATTTCTTACTGTAGAAATGTACAGTTCTGGAGACTGTTGGATTTCTTAACGTCGTCAAGCTACAATACAAACTGTATCAGGCAATATAAGCTTCCATCTACCAGGGACTTAAAGGTGCAATAAATGTAAGGTGAGTTTAGCCAGTAATTTGTGTGAAAAAGAATGAGAAAAAAAGTCATAATGCAATTGTTGAGAGTATTTAAAAAGACATCAGCTCTTGAGGAGTGAATCGTGTTGAAAGGCCTTTCGTAGCTGTATCCATACCTTGCCTCTGACAGGAGCTGGCTGTTTGCCAAAGCCCACATGTGGTGGGTGTTTAAAAGCATGTCAGAGGCACTGTAACCTGGAGATGATCTTATTAAAACAAAGAGGCCCTGTGGGTGAGCATCATCACTGCGTTACCAGTATTTCATATGCGAAGGTGTAAGTTTTGTTTTCATTCAAGCCGTGTGTACTAGTACATATCAAAACCCATGTAAGTGAGCATTCCTGTTTAAGTTCAGCTCTGTGACTTTGTTCTCTGTAAAATAAGTTCTTCTTGCTGTCACATGTTAACAAACCAATTCCAGAAACACAGTTCATGGCCAAGTATAGCACCTTCAAACCGGGAGGCATCACTTTCAGGGTGTTTCTTTTTATACTTGATGTTGCCGCATTTGTTGATATTCCAGATTGTAATGAGTCAGTCACTAAAAATTTAGTTACTGTTCAGAGGAAATTGCCTTTTTATAAACAATAAGAGACTGAAGAAACGTCTTCTGGAAAGACTTGCTTGAGATTAGAGCCATATCTGTTCCACTTATTTGGTCCAGGTCAGAACTGGTGTCACAGCACCTCAAACAGTAAACTGCACAGTTAGGCAGTCAGCAATGCCAAAATGTGTGTTATTGATTCCAGTAAAAATTCTGGGTTAGATCTGTCAGAGATGAGATTTTTTCTGACAACTTACAGTGGTTAAAACACTCTTAAAATTCTGTTCCCTGGTGTATTTACTACAGTCAGAAAAACTAAACAGGACGACAGCTTGCATGCTGCCTCTTCTGTTTAGCCAGACCTAAAATGGTTCCAGATTTCCACTGTTTTATGCTTAACTCTAAGAGGACAAAAGTTGGTGTGTGAGAGGATCAAGGAAAACATGCAGATGTCATATCATTAAATCAGTGCTTTGAAATATATTTTGCAAGGAGGATAATGGTTTTTTGAATGGTCGACAACTCTTCCAGTCATACCTTCTTCTAGGAAAAATATAGGCGGGAGGGGGAAGGAGGTGTTCTATTTTGATAGCAGCTGTTTCTGGGCCCTCTTTATTGCTTATCACAGTTCAGGTTAGTGAGTAATCTTCTTGAACAAATCACTTCCATGCCAGGAGCACAAGTATTAAGGTGAACTTAATACAGCCCAGTGATACAAAAACATGACCCAGTGCCATTCAGAAAGTCCTGGAGTGAGAGAAGTTTGACTCATACTGTGGTCTAGTTTTTACCTGTCACGCCAGGAAAAGAGGGAGGAGGGGGCATCTCCATCTCCCGCAAAACAGGGCGAGGACAAGAAAAGATTCCTTCTGGTGGCCTCAGTTTGTAAAATGCCAGGTTTGTTCTTCTAGAAATGGGTTCAAGTAGTTGAACAATTCCTTTGAACTTTGCACAGCTCAGAAAATGTTTTTGTTATACATGAATGTTAACGTGGTTTAGGAAATGTTGGCAGATATGAGTACAAATGAACTACAATGACTGTGTTTCTGATTCTTTAAATAAAATAAGTATTAAGGCAACTTGACTGAAGTTTCTCTCTCAATTAGACAACATGGTGAACAAGCAGTGTAAGTGACTCTGAGGTTTGCAAAGAAAATAGAAATCTGCAAACCCTGTAGTAATTCCCACATAAATAAAAACCTGTTAGGAGTAAGAGATGCCTGAACAGGATTCAGAATCTGTGGTTCTTCTTTTGGCACATCTGGGATTTCTTCAAAATCTTGAGAAGTTAACAGCTTACCTGTGGAGAAGAGGTGTTTAGGTCCAGAGAAAGAGAGTGTGTACAGGCTGGGAAGAGACAGTGAGATGGCACGGGTAAGGCTGTGGCAGAGAGGCTAGGAGGGGATGTGGAAGCAAAAAATTGACAAGGAAAAGAGCAGCCTTTAAGAGTGTTAATGGTGCTCTGAGGTCACCTGGTGGGTTGAGCAGGTTTGTAGGCAGAGGAAGACCCCTTTCCTCCTGCCCTGGATAGGCTTGGGCATGGTGTCAGCAGTGTCCTCTAGGCAATGTACAGCCCAGGAACTGGAAGAGAGGGAAGGAGCAGGTTGTACCCTGGGCAACTGAATGCCCCTTAACTTGGGTGAGGGGTGTAAGCCCATTTTGGACAAGCCCTGAGATTCCCATTCAGCAGCACAGTGCAGATCATCTGGAAGGGGAACATGAGTCCATGAGTGGGTCTGGATGTGTTTGCCTTGATTTGGCTGGGAGATGCCTCTGGAAGAGGCACCCACAGGTGGTGATTCTTCGCACAGTTAGGAAGCACATAGGGCAGGGATGAGCGAGGCACAGTTAACTCACCAGGTTATCTGCATGGGAGGTGACATGAGTCTCTTTTTGCCCCAGCTGGATCCCGAGTCAAAATTCTGAAATGTGGGAATCACTAGAATTTAAATATGGGCAGGCAATACCTCTCCCTCTGCTAGGCCTTGCTGGCTGTCTGACAAGCAGTGTGGTGCAAAACGCTGCACAGAGGAGCCTGCCAGCTACTTCCAAGCTGGTCTGACGTACCAGTCCTCTCCACGCTTTGCCAGGTCCTGTTCCTCTGGCATTCCTCTGTCCCCTGCTGCCAGCACATACCACACACCTCACCCAGCCTTTATACTACATGTCACCCTGTGCTTCTGCTGCAGTGCCTGATAGAAATTTACGTCATTTTGAAAGAAAAATAATCATTCTAAAATTGTTACATGATTTTACTGTTCCTAAATGCTTACGGAGAGCAAAACCACCTGGACAACATCTGCAGGGCTTTCCTGCAGCCAAAAGCTCTTCCTGACATCAACAGCTCCTCATACATGGTGAACCTGGCAGCTACACAGATTGGTTAGTTGGTGCCAAACCAAATAAATGAGCTGTACTGGAAGGAAAGCCAAGAGGTGCTACAGTCTGGAGAAGGCCCCGTTTTCACGCCCCAGCCTTTCATGTAGCAAAAATAACTTTCTAAGGGGTCACAGATGTATTTCCAATTACTGGGGCATGGGTGTCTACCCTCCCTTCAGAGAACCACTTGATTTTTCTCAGTCACCAAGCTGCACCACCTGCCCCACAGTGCCGCAAAGAGGCCACGAGCCAGAACACCGAAGGGCTCATACCAAGGTGGTCCCCTTGCAGCACGTGCCAGCCAGCCTCTGTGAGCCCCCCACGCTCACAGCATGGCTCAGTTGCAGGTGAGCCTACCTCTACTTGGGTCTCTTCTTTGCTCCCTAAGGAGACCCCAGCAGCCCCAGGGAAGGACAGCCAGTATCCTGCTGACTTGGCCAGGGAGTCACAGAAAGCTGTTTCCAACACAAATGGCTCTTTTGCACCAGCCAAGATGTAATGCTGTGTTTTTGCAAAGGCAACAGGAGCGGTCTTGCACACAGGATTATGAGCTTTGTGACGTCCTGTGTGACACACACGTGAAAAGCCCACGAGCAAGGAGTGCTGCTGGGGAGTGGGGCTGCACCAGTGCCACCTGCCCACCCCTCTCAGAGAGGGCACTGGAAAGGACAGGACTGGCTTCTCCATTAAGGGCAAGCATCCTTGGGGGAAATGCCTTGCCTGGGGAAACCTTGGGTTGGTCAATGCCATCAGTGCTGCACTCCAGCAAACAACAGGGGTGAGCAGTGGGGCAGCTGGCTTTGGTGGAGGGGTTGCTGTCATGCATGGAATCCTTGTGGGGAGCACAGGAATGATGGGGGCACAGATAAGTAAGAGGGCAGAGGAAAAATTAAGTCATTAAGACAGGAGGGAAGGGAGAAGAGTCTTTAACTTACTGTCAGAGAAGGAGAGTGTATTATACTTGTGTTCTGCATCTGCACAAGGGCATGGTAGAGCTGCAGTCAGTCATGTCAGTGTGTGCAACCCCCCACAGGCCCCAGGAGTGCAGCTGTGGGGTGTGTGGGGCAGGAATGGAAGTCAATCCCATCACCAGGAGGCCATGCCCTCTGCTATCCCACCTGGTGAAGGAGGACCACAATGAGTGCTTAAGGGCCAGGGACCCTAGGGATGGCACTGGCACAGCCCAGGTGACTCTGTGTCTGACAGCACATCTCCAGCTGCTGAGTGGACTCATGCCCAGTGAAACCCACTGGGATCCCTGGCTGTGCCACTGAATCAGGCTGGGAGTCAAAGTCTGACACATCCCTGGCCCAGGGGTGGTGACCCTGCCCCACATCACTGCTGCCTCCATGAGGCACTGGGCTCTCATGTGTGATGCTGCACAGCCAAGGGATCTGGGAGCTGCCCCCACACCTTTCTCCCCAGCAAGAGCAGAAAGGAATTCCCTTTCTCCTCCTCATGGGTATGTCAGATGTGCCCTACAGCTGCCCAACGGAAAAATCAGCCTTGAAGACAGAAGGGCAATTTGTTAAGGTTTTTTCCTCTCCCCTCCCCAGATAATTGTCTGGGATCTGCATTAATGGAAACATAAATTGACTGCCACTCTGCTAAATGACAATCAGGTTTTGTTTGACAGAGCTAGGAAGTATCTTATCCTGAACATTGGCACCAAACAATCTAAATGCAAATTGCAAAGTGTTTGGGGGTAAGGAGGCTGTTTATCTTCTGATGAGGTTATATAATAATGCAGAGGGGGGAGAGAATTGCCTTTCAATTCCTAAAGGCTATCAAAAAGTGTGATGGTTAAACTGTGAGGCCAGTGTTTACATTTTATTTTAATGGAGCAGATTCAGTTACTTGGCGTGGATTTTCTTTTAACAAATCACTTTTTTAAACAAGATGCATCACGGCAGCATTTCAACCATATTTCAGCAATTCTCAGGCACCCAGGTTAGCGTGGAAAATGACAGAGCAGCCATCACTTTAATCCTGTTATGTCTATTGCTCCCAGCTTGTTCTCCTCTGATGAAACACACTGCTGTGCCTCAAAGAGGCAGGAAAACATTTGTTGCACCCGTGGCCTGTTTCTCTTGTTAGATCACCAGGTTTATACACACCAGCACTGCTCAGGACCCAGCGCTCTTACACAGGAATGGTTACAGGACAAGCTGAAAATGTGAAAGGCAACTGTGACCAGCTGCTTCCTGAGACATCACCATGTGCTCGGGTTACTTCTCATGCTGGATGCCCCGTGCTGGATGTGCAGCAGCTTTAGTGCCAGTCACTGCAAAAGTCAGAACTTCCAGGCCTGCTCAGCACAGCGCTCCTGCACAACGCTCCGCACTTACGGGGGCACCGCGCCACGCGCGCCGGGCCAGCATCTGCAGCGGTGCCCGTGCTGCCATCTGTGCCCTGTGGCATTCTCCACAGGGAAATAGTTTTCTTTAGTCTTGTCCTGGGAAGGAAGAGGTGTCCATGGCAGCTTGGGGCATTCAATAACTCGAAGCTTTCAGCACCTTGCAGAACTGGTTTCCTTGAAGTTTTTCCACTCCAAATTTGTAATCTAATCTCAGAGCTTGATTTAGACTTCTGCATTTCTCCATAAATTAAGAAGTAAGCTTGAGTTTACTCCAAGAGTTTTGCTCATCTGGGAGGCAAAGGAAGGAAAGGATTAATGTGTCATTTTTATTTTCCCATTTAAATATGTCTCATACAGAAAAATGAGCATGAATCTTTGCAAGGCAGGAAAAAAGCAACAGATCTGTAAAAGCTGTGTGTGTCTATAAATTGTTGGGCCTGTAGACTACTTGGTGTAGACCAGCCAAATAACTCACACAAATCTACAAATAGAAGGACATTTGAATGTAAGTGGATACAACAAGAAGGACCATGATAGTCTGGATTTGTAGAGAAAGAAATCAGTGAGTAGTGATTGTAGCCCCGTTTAGGAAGGGGTAGCCAGGATTTTGGGTACACCCACTGCCTCTGTGACAGAGACCTTTAGGGACCAGCCAGGGCATCCCTTGAAAGGGACTCACTAAACCACGGAGAAGAAGGTTTTGCAAATGGGCAGTTTTGCAAATTCGACCAGTTTTAGAACACCTGCTTAATTCACTGCTGTTAGAAAACACAGCAGGTGATTTTCCAAAGGCTTTGATGACATGGCTGACAGCCTGCAGCTCTTGGGAGCAGCTGAGGGACAGACAGTGATTATTGCTCCACAAGCTGAACACAGGGTGTGACTCTCGGGGTGTCCTGTGCAGAGCCTGGAGTTGGACTCGATGAGCCTTATGGGTCCCTTCCAACTGAGCTTATTCTGTGAACATTCTGTGATGGACTTTGCCTTCACTACTGTGATAAATACATATATATAACACATAAACCACACACATGTAAATGTGCATTTACATACACATCTCTTTATGCATATCACCATCACTCCTTTAGTAACAGAAAAGAGACAGTTTGATTGATGATATGACTGGTTAATTGATTGGTTGATGTCATTTAAGCTGATCCAGGCCTACCTGTGTTTGCAACCAGAGCACAGGGTGCATTGTAAGAGTTTCAGATTTCAGCTGTAAAGCAACACCAGGAAGTTGAGAAAAACCACCCTGAGGTCTGAGCTGTGATTCCCTTGTCTGAAGGGCATGGCCATTCTGGCAGTTTCTGAATTTCCTCTGATGACCTCCCACTAGTTTGGAGATGCAGCAATAG